GGCTGGATGAAGTAATCCTACGAATAATAAGAATCAGAAGGAGAAGCATAAGAGTAATACAAATAGCAGCAATGCTGATGCATGAAATCTCCGAAGGTGGCAACACATGTTTCCCCCCCCCATTTGGCCATCGGAATCGTCCTAACAGTAATTGGTTCCATTACTGCGCGTCTCATGACACATGGGTACAACAACTTCCTGGACTGTCCATGCGAGAAATAACCGCACCTCACGCGGGAAAGGCATTGAGGGCTAGTCTCTACAGCTCTGTGAACGTGCAATACATGCGGCGGACCAATGAACATCGCAGCGAAGTGTCTCATGGCATTGAACAAGGCCGCGCAACTGCCTCACGGTTTCTGATTACGGGGCCACTTGGCGCACTTGACGCAGCGCCAGCGACACCCTATCCACAACACTCGGCGGGACTGCCCGTTGGAAACTCGCCTCGGCTCGACGGTGGCGGAACTGCAGCGGGCCAACTTCCCAAAGAGGTCCTCGGCTCCACGCAGGCGCGCCAGAGCCTGCTCCAGGCGCCCAGCGCTGCCGCCTACCTCCAGGTGCCCCCCATGCGAAGCGGGCGCCCGCCTCCAAAAAGGCCTCTTCCGGGTAACGGCCCAGCGCTGGCCCCGGGCCCGGCACGTCGACCACAAGAGGAACCCTGCCCCGCTTGCGGACTGGTGATGGACGCCTGGCTGGACCGCGCCGCCACCTGCTCTTGCCGCGGCGACAGGGAAACAGCGGCACAAGGGGTTGAACCCCTTGTGCCGCTGTTTCCCTCGACGAAGAACCGTTCTTCGACGCGCAGGCGGCCGGCTTCGCGGGGGCAGAGCTGGCGCGGCCACGGCTCCTTCCACCGCGCGGCGCCCTCGAGGGGCCGCTGGGCGGCGGGCTGGGCGGACGGGGCCTGGGCGCCGGCGGCCGCCGCCCCGCTGACGCCCGCCTGCCCAGGTGGCGCAGCGGGGTGCCAGCAGCCTGTGACTTCGCCGTCGCTTCCAGCGCGCGCCGGCCTCCTTCCCACCTCCGCCGCGTCCCCAGCGCGGCCACGGAGTACTACGAGGAGTTCAAACAGCACCGCCAGGACACCGAGCGCCAAGGCGCGGCGCAAGAGTTCACCTACAGACCCATGGCGGTGGAGGCCCATGGTGGCGGGTGGGGGCACGAGGCCAGGAGAGCATCCGCGATCCTGGCAAGGCGGGTGGCTGACGCCAACCGGGGGGGAGCCGCCCTAGTGGCGGACTGGCACGCCCAGCGACTCTCAATCTACCTTCATCGGCAGAACGCGTGGGCGGTGCTGCGGCGGCTACAGCCGTCGACGGGGGCGGCTGCTGCGCGCCTTACAACGGCCACGATGTGAGTCGCCGTCGACGCTGGCTGCCTCCCCGCCCCCTCCCCCCTTCGCGGCCCTGACCCACGTCGGTCAAAGCTGACTCCGACGAGCCACGACGACCCTCGGACACACGACGGCCCTCGACGACCCCCCCGGCTGCCCGACTGACGTCAACGACCCTTGCCCCCCCGCCCGCCCGCCCCCATCGCGTGCGCTTGCCTGCTGCTGTCTTCGCAGACCCCTCTTCTCCTCTTAGATGACTGTGTCTGCACGCCGCGTTCTTCCTCTTCCCCCTAGTTGTTCTTCTTTCTCTTTCTCCTCCTCTTCTTCCTCCTCCTCCTCTTCCTCCTCTTCTTCCTCCTCCTCCTCCTCCTCCTCCTCGAGGGCCAGCCCAGGGCGTGCTCGCCCGGCGGCGTTACGCCGCACTGCGCGGCCTGTCGGCCGAGCCAGGCCGTCCTCCAGCAGTGCGTGGGGGGGCCAGGCCGTTGTCGCGTTCCTCGTTGTCCTCCTCCTGCTCCCGTCCCTCTTCCTCTTTGCACTGCGACGTGGCCTGGCAGCGCGAAGGCTGCCAGCAGAGGCTCGCTTCCCGCCCCCCCGAGGTCTGGGTCAGGGGCTGCGGCTCGCATGCGTGGGGGTGTCGAAATATGAGGACATACGGGGCCTTGCCTTTGGCCCTTGGGAGATCCTCATCGTCCTCGTCATCATCCTCCCTCTCCATCCCGCGTCTCTCTCTCTCTCTCTCTCTCTTGTGGCTAACCCCTCCCCCCCCCGTGTCCCCGAACCCACTTCCCCTTTCACCTACCCTCGTTTCCTTCTCCGTCCCTTTCTCCCTCCAACCCCCTCACAGATCCACTGCAACGCTGAACTACTGCCAGCTACGTATGTGTCGTTTCTCTCGTCATGCGTCATGCATGTACTGCCGCTGCCCATTACTCTGATGCTTTATGTGACTCCTGCTAACCCCCATTTCCTGATCTAATCCGCCCATGGTGCAGAAGAGGCCAAAAGAAACGTGAGGTCAGAGGCAGGGGGAGGGTGGCGGGTTGCTTCAAATACGGTCACAAACATTATGTGCATCTAAAACACAGCCATAAAAGGTGGAGGGATGGACGGATGGGCCAAACTGGACGTGTACATACATATAGATTTACCTATGCGATCACACTGTGGGTGATAAGGAGTTTGGAGGGGGGGTTGGGGGAAATACCAAATGGTGGCAAATGCGATGGGTGTGATGATGATGATGATGATGCTGATGATGATGATGATGATGATGATGATGATGATGATGATGGTGATGATGATGATGATGCTGATGATGATGATGATGATGATGATGATGATGATGATGATGATGATGATGATGATGATGCTGGCGACGCACCCTCGAGTTAGCGAGAACGCGTGGTGACGATGTAACGCTGCCATGTAATGCCACTATCGTCCCGGCTTTCGAACTCACTCGATAGATCCCAAGATCGGCCTCAAAGGGTCAATCACAGTATATTTTTGACTATCGATATCGCTATAGATCGCAATCATAGATCTCGCGTGCGATATCATGATCGATCTCACGATCGATTCCCCTACCGATCTCACTATCGATCTCACGATCGTTCTCACAACCGGTACTTTGGATCTCACTTTCGACCTCCCTACCGATCTCACTATCGATCTCTCGGTCAACCTCACTGTGGATCTCACTTCTGCTACCACCATCCCTCCCATTCCAGCGATCGCATTATCGACCCCACGATCGACTTCACCATCGATACCAGGTTCCCAGGGCAGGACCCCCTCGGCCGCCGCACGCCCACCGCCGACGGAGCACCGGAGGGACACCAACGAGACACCAACAGGACGCCACACTTGCCGTCGCTCGGACGTCCATTTCCCGTGCATGTTTCGGTGTCGTGCGTGTTTTTTTTTTGCTCGATGGTCCAGGATGGTCCATGATGGTTCTCGCCGAGAAAAAATGCACACGTCCGAGCGATGCCAAGCACAGGACACAACGCAGGGACACCCTGGGCCACCGCGCGCCCACTGGGGGCGGAGAGGCGGTCCACTGCATCCGAGTCGACCTGGCGACGGCGGGGTCGTTCCTCCCGCGCGCCCAGGCAGCTGCGCCGCGCCCGCACGCACGACACGAGTACGAAACCGAAACCGACGTCCTGCAATCTCACTCCCCAACGTCCGATATATACATATAAGCATAAACATGTATTTCTATGGTATATACATGTGCGCACATGTGTATAGTATGTATATACATATATACATATAGACATAGAGTCCCGAAATCCTGAACCCAAAAACACGTTCATCCGTTAGGTGCGCATCTTTTACTTCTGCTCGCTTCTGCCGCCCTTCCGCGGTCATTCCTCTCGCCACGGAAGAGATGGCAACTCCTTCGACCCTCGAAGTCGACGCCCTTTCCGAAACGGCGCATGTGTATCGAAATGCCGAGGTAACACACATATGCACATACAGTTATTTATATATCCATTTGCATATATATATATATACACACACACACGTCTGACTGCGAGTTGCGTGACGTCTTACAGCGTCCCTGCATGCGTGCCTGACGTGAGTTTCCGCGGTGCGGATTGTTTCTGGGGTTTATTATTGCATGCCGACGTCCCACCCGCCGCGCCTCACCTGCGACTGCGACCCATCCCCGCAACCCAGCGGGGAGGACAATTTCGGCAATCGCCTGGACACAAGAACAACCTCGCCAGGGTCGCGGGATCATCGATACTGTGGGAGTCCAATGAAATTCGAGCGGCATAGGCGGCGATTTTGACCCATGAGGATAACCGTGTGGGCTTGTAATGTGTTTGCAATTTTGCTCGCTCACCAGGACGATGACGCTTGCAAGGAGGAGGAGGATCCGGATGATGATGAGCATTAGAATGAATACATGAAGGATTCAAGCGGCGAGGAAGCAGAATTGGGGAAGGGCATGAGTCGTCCCTGGCGCCTGAAGACATTCAGAAGCCTCCGAGGGCATTCCCGAGGCACTCAAGACTCGTGACCGCCCCGCAGCCGCCCGTTTGGGGCCGCCCGGCCGCCGTCGTGTGCCGCGAAGATGAGCGCGGCATCGCCGTAGTTCTGCGCGTAACTCTCCATGTACCTCACCGCGGCTGCGGCCAAGAGGGGGGTGTCCAAGAGGGGGGGTGCAAATCATGGCCGGCGGCATGTGCGCGGCCCAAGGGGGGTGCCAGGGACGTAAGGAAATAAGAAGGGGCGCCATGAAATCTGGGGAAATATCATTGCCCACGCCATGAAATCCCCCCCCACTATTCATCACCCCCCTCTTTGCCGCCCCCGACGGGACCAGGAGCGCACACTTTTCCTCAGCCAGCCCGCGCTCGGCACCAGAGCCGAGGCGTGCCCCGACGCACGAGGACCAAGCGGTGGGAGGACAATGCGGGCACACATGCATCCGGCCCTCGCCCATGCCGGCCGTGCCACGAGTGCCCAACTCCCTGGGACTGGTCTGGCTTGCTTGGAAAGGCCTGTGTGCTCTGCCTGGCTCTCGCTGTTCTTGCTGGTCTCGCTTCTCTCCTTGATTGAATCGTTTGCTTCGTTTGGGTATCACCCCTCCTCGCTCCTCTCTCCTCCGCTTCAGAGCCCAGAAATGGGGCCAGATGACCTTTGGCGCGGCATCTCGGAGCCCAGAATTGTAAGGAGCGGAAACAGCACACACATATATTATTTTGACACAAACTGTTTTGACACAAACTTGTTCGTTGCTCCCTCGTTTGGGTCCGTCCCCAGACGGCTGGATCAGAAGATCATCGCCTTTTTCGCCGACTCGCAGGTCGCCTCCAGGGGTTGCACCGTCTATGGTTTCGCCTGGGTGGGGGGGGGAGGGTTGGGCAAAGGATGTCTCAGGTTCCGGGCCCTACAAACTATGCATGGGCCCGCTGCGCAGGCGGAGTAGAGGGCCGCGCCAAGGGCAGGCGGAACGAGACAGTGAGGGGCACGGCGGAGATCCATTGCCCCCTCCAATAGGTTACATGCGCATGCGGGTGTGTGATTTCCTGTCCTGACCTGGCAAAAAAAAGTCTCAAGCGACACGCGCCGGACAACCTCGCGCACAGCATCTCGGAAACCGGAATTGCGAGCATGTCTCTGGCGAAACGGGCTGCACCACCTCCCGCCTGGGAACTCAGAGTTGCGAGGAGGTCTCAGGCGGCGCTCAGACCCCTCCCCGAGAACAATTCGACAACAGAAATGTGATCAAAGTATTCGCTTGCCTCTGACCTTTCCTCACCCCTTTGTCCCTTTGGGAGCCCTGAGTTTGAGGATGTCTCAAGAAAAACGGGCAAGACCACCTCGCCCGCAGCATCTCGGAGCCCCGAAGTGCGCGGATGTCTCGAGCGAAACGGGCACACCACCTTTCGCACATTCTCTCAGAGCTCAGAGTTGCGAGGATGCCTCAGGCGAAACGGACCCACTCTCGCGCAGCATCTCGGAGCTCCTTCCTCCTCCCTCTCTCCTCCAACATCCTGCCTCCTCCCTGCTCGCGGCGCTCTCACTCGACGCGTCTCCACGATTTCCTCCAGCATGGCTCCCCCCTGATCAGCCATGATCAGCCATTGCTGAAGGGGTCCTGGGACACACAAACAAACAGAAATGGAAGGATTCCCCATATTCTCAGATATGTTCTGGGTTTTTGTTCCCCCCCCCCCACGTCCTATATGTTCGCATATTTTCCTGGGAATCCTTTGTGTGTCTTTGTTTCCCTCCTGGCCACTGCACTCTACGAAGGGATCGCGCTCGCGCGCTGGCGCCGGCTAGTTTTCATTCTCCATCGGGCCCGGGGCGCCCAGGCCCTTCACAGGGCACCATTCGGACAACAGAGGAGTCATCGGATGGTTCGTCTGGGTCTCACCCCTCCTCGCTCCCCTCTCCAGGGCTGGACCCAAACGGTGTCTTTCGTGTTCGTCTTGTCTTCGTTTTCCCTCGCTTCTGTCTCGAATCCTCCCTTACCGCAAAACGAGGTCGAAACGAAAACGGCCCACGAAATCACCAAAAACACCGTTTAGGTCCAGCTCTCGGAGCCCAGAGTTGTGAGGATGGCTCAGGCGATACGGGCCAGACCACCTCGGGCGCGGCACCTCGGAGTCCAGAGATGCGAGGACGTCTCAGGCGAAACGCGTCAGACCACCTCGCGCACATGTTCTGAGAGCAGGGGTGCGAGCAAGCCTCAGGCGAAAGGGGATTGACCACCTCGCGCAGCATCTCAGAGCCCCGGATTGCGAAGATGCCTCGGGCGGAACAAGCCAGACCACCTCGCGAGCGACATCTGGGAGCTCAGAGTTGCCTGTAGCGTCTTGGAGCCAAAAAACACCTTGCCTGTAGCGTCTTGGAGCCCCGAATTGCGAGGAGCACATGCTCTCATAGCTCAGAGTTGCGAGAATGGCTCAGGCGAAACGAGCTGGACCACCTCTCGAGATGCGAGGACGTTTCAAGCGAAACGCGCCAGACCACCTCTCGTGAGGCAGATCGGAGCTCAGACTTGCGAGGATATCTCAAGCGAATGGCGACGGACCACCTCGCCCGCGGCAGCTCGGAGCGCAGAGTTGCGAGGATGCCTCTGGCAAAACGCACCGGACCACCTCTCGCGCGGCAGATCGGAGCTCAGAGTTGCGAGGATGTCTCTGGCGACATGGGCCAGACCACCTTTCGCGTAGAATCTCGAAGCTCAGAATCGAAGGGCTGTCTCAAGCGAAACGCGCCAGACCACTTCTTGTGCGGCATCTCGGAGCCCAGAATTGCGAGGATGTCTCATGCGAAACGCGCCGGGCCACCCCGCGCGCGGCAGCTCGGAACGCAGAGTTGCAAGGATGTTTCAGGCGACACGCGCCAGAGCACACCTCTTGCGCGACAGCTCGGAACCCACCTCTATCAGGATGTCTCAAGCGAAACGCGCCGGACCACCTTGCGCGCGGCGTCTCGAAGCTCTGAATTGGGAGCATGTCTCAAGAATTGCGAAGATGTCTCAAGCGGAACGGCCCACATTTGTTTGAGGATGTCTCTGGGCGGGCGTTCCTCGACCAGAACTAGTTACGACCACAACAGCAGCCCGTCCAACAAGCTGCTTCTGAAACAACTCTCGCCCCCAGGCAGGACCCCCTGGATCACCAGGTCGGGGAAGGGGCACCTGGCTGGGGGTGGGGGTGGGCCGTGCTGTACTGACGCCTGGGCTGCAGCGATTGGCCGCCGCGGACGAGGCGAATCGGAGCAAACGGTCTCGGACGAACTCCCGCAAGCGCGGGCACCCCGCGAGCCTCGGCGGGGCCTGCCGGGCACGACCGCCGCGGCCCGGGCAGGGCTGCTGCGGCCGCCGAGTCAGCCAGACGCAAGCGAGGCCGCCTTGGCAGGCGGGGCGGTGGCAGGGCGAGACGCGCGCAGTAGGTCCGAAGACCAGCTCTTCGGACTGCTCGGTCCGAAGGAAGGCTCTTAAAGACCAGTTGGGCGCCTCGTTCGGCGAAAAATTGGCAGCGCCACTGCAAGCGAATGCAAGGATGAGCAGCGTGAGTAGGAGGAGGAGAAGAAGAGTGAGTGGACAAGGATGGGTAGGAGGGAGCGAGGGAGAAGCACGAGGAGTCGAAAAAGGATGAGGCGCGGGACGAGGGGGGTGGGGGGCGGGCAGAATCGTAAGAGCGGACTGGCCTGGACTCCGCCATGGCGAGGGATGGCTGAGACAAAAACGACGGTTTTCAGACAGAGCGCAACTCAAAGATGCTCCTCCATGCTCCTCGCCTACGGCCCGACTGGTCTAGGAAGCCAGAACGTGTGTAGCTACGCACTCCTAAGCCTGCCTGAGCACATGCATGCCACCCACTGGCGCCCGCGACTCACATCAAGCTCAATGGCCCATGCTCGCGTATGATGATGTCTTGCTTCCATGCCGTCCTACCAAACTCACCGACCGAAGGTCTGCTGTCCTGCAGAGGTCTGGAAGACAATGAGGGAGGTGCACGTGGTCACAGCCATGACACCATCGCCAAATCCGACTGCGGCATCTTGGAATGCCTGGCCGGTGGACAGAGACGAGAGCAGCTCGACGGTTCTGGCCCCGCCCCCCGAAGATGAGCCCCACCTCTGCAGCTCGCCGACCTGGTTCCCAACGTAAATGTCACCCGCCGCATCGATCGCTGGTATGGACCAGCTGTTCGGTTGGCACCTGGCGCGGCCGCCCATGGCACGGCGGATGTCGGCACCCTCCTTGTCGCCAGCGCACTCCGTTCTCCACAGCGTCGGGCCGTCCTTCTTCCAGCGCATGTGGCCGTTGTGCGGGTCGAGGGCCCAGATCTGCGTGGGGGAGTTCATGAGGCAGTTGAAGCCCATGGTGATCACCAGGCGGGTGTGGAGTGCTGGACTGTTCAGCATACCGATGGAGGCGCTGGCCGGCGGCTCTGGCATCGAAACCTCCCAGCGTTTCCTGCCTGACGTTGCGTTAAAGGCGCGGACAAACCCAGGCAGACCTGGCCACGTATCGCAATTCACCAGGATGCCGGGTGCTACGTAGGGATTGCAATATTTATTTTCATATTGATAGACGCCGAGGGCGTACACCAAATTATAAGCGGGGCTGTATACTGCGGTTGCCTCAGTGTGCGTCCCAAAACTGCCAGCGGAATTCCATCTCAGGGCGCCAGTCTGCAGGTCCAGGCAATATACCCTCGCCTCGTAGTCCTGGAACATCACGCTGCCGTCGTTGCCCCAAAGCGGATTGAAATTCCACACCGGAGAGGTGGGCTTGAATTCCCAGACAGCACTGCCGTCCACCAGACTCAGGCCCCTCACAATTGAATTGCCGGGCTGGAGGGGATTCGTGATATTGCGGTACCTATAACAATACCGGTCAGCGCACCGGTCGGTTGCGACCACCACGATTCCGTCCTTAGCTGCCACAGACCCCTTGACGCCAGAAATATCGTTCGACGCCCAGGTTGCCCAGACTTCCGTTCCGTTTAAGAGCTCGATCGCGAAAACATAGCCAGCGGTGGTGCTCCCTACCAGCACAGGGGGCGAGGTGGTGGACTTCTTCGCCTCCACGCGCACGAAGCGGTTCTCCAGGGCGTGGAGCTGCACCACGCTCTTGTGCCCTGTGTGCGTCCACACGATGACAGCCCTGCCATCCTCGCCGCCGTCCTCGATGACGCTGGAGATCAACCCCTGGTCGCCAGCCTGGTAGTGCTGCTTGCCGTCCGATCTGTAGCCTACGGAGACGGCGTCTCTACACCGCCACTGTGACTGGCCAGGCCATCTTGGGACCCATCGCCCTCCTGGCCTACACCAAGAAGGTCAAATGCACCGTCCTGGGGCACAGGACTGCTCTGGCCAGGTATGGTGGCGGTGTGCAGATGCCCTCTGCGGATCGCCTGCCCCAGGCTTCACCTTGACGAGGTCGCCGACTTTGAAGTCCTTGAAGAACTGGTATGACGACTCGTTGCCAGGCTTGGCCCAGTCCGGCCGCAGCTGCAGCTCCTCCTCGGCGCTCATGTCGTCCTTTAGCCGGGCCGCCTGCCTGCGGGTGCTGGCGATGGCCAGGGTGGGCGCCGACGCCAGCTGACCTCGGCAGGAACGGAGGAAATCGGCACCACCACCATCGGTCGGGCGTTGCCTGATGGGGGGGGGCAACAGACGGGG